TGCTAGTATGGCGGTACTATATGCAGTAGTAAGTGGCAAGTGTGTCCTATTACTGATAGGCAGCGCACATGTCCCGGGCCAGTTCAGAGAACGTTAATCAAGATGGCAGACGACAGTGTTCGTACATATATGGAACAGCGTGTGGTGATGAAGTTTCTTGTGAACAAAGGTGTAAAACCCACAAATATCTACAGAAGACTTCAAGCACAGTACGATGATGAGATGCTCAGCCTCAGTAAAACATTTGAATGGTGGAAACGTTTCAAAGATGGCCGTATGTTCGTCAGTGACGGTCCAGCCCACAGCAGTCATTCCTGTGAATATTCACAGTCCTGGGAACATCTGATTCTGAAAAATCAAGGTATAACCTGTCGTGAAATAGCACAAGAGACAAATCTTTCTGTGATCAGCATTTCAACCCTGATGACGAAGAGCTAGCAGGCTGTCCTAGGATGGTTCAAGTGTACTGACAAATCTTTCTATGCCAAAGCTTTCCAGGCATTAGTTAAATGCTGGGATAAGTGTAAAATGTAGCAGAGGATTATGTTGAAAAATAAATGCAGTTTTCACTCCTTGAAATTTGTCCTTTTATCATATAAACTCAAAAGTCCCGGTTTGACTTAAACACCCCCTACATTGGTAGTCAGTTCAAAGGAAGAATTCCCTTGTACATTGGCAGTCAGGGGATAAAGGCCCCCATGCATTGACAGTCAATAAAAAGGGTCCTCCTTACATTGGTGGTCAGTTGAAAAGGTCCTTTTGCTTTGGTGGTTAGTGGAGAAGAACCACTTAAACTGGTGGTCAGTGAGCACAAATGTAATGGAACACTTCTCTACTGAACACCAATGTATGAAGGCCCTTCTCCACTATAAGAGGGCCGATAGCTACTGACCATCAATGTACGAAGGCCCTTCTTCATTGACCATCAATGTAAGGGTGCCGGTATCTATTGAACACCAATATAAGGAAGTCCTTATCCATTGACTACCAATATAAGGGGGCCCTTATCTACTGAACCAACAATGTACAGTATGGGGCATTTACTCTTCACACCAACCACTAATGTAAAGGGATCCTTAGACCTGGTGCACACCTATGCATGTTGATGTGTTTTCCAGATGGGAGGGGTCTGTTGTCTTGCAGGAAAAACCAGCAAAAATACAAGCACTGCATTTTTTTATGCTTTTCCGCTGTATTTCCATTGAAATCTATGGAACCAAAGATATAACCTAATGTGGGAAAAGAAAGTCCCTGACACATTCCAAAAAATGCAGAGTTATGAATGTGACCCATAGGAAACCATTTTAAATGGACTGTAGTAGATTTCTGCAAAACTGAAAGCACACTGAAAAACACATAGGAAATGCAGCAAAAAGACAAGCACTGCATTTTTTATGCTTTTCCGCTGTATTTCCATTGAAATCTATGGAACCAAAGATATAACCTAATGTGGGAAAAGAAAGTCCCTGACACATTCCAAAAAATGCAGAGTTATGAATGTGACCCATAGGAAACCATTTTAAATGGACTGTAGTAGATTTCTGCAAAACTGAAAGCACACTGAAAAACACATAGGTGTGAACCAGGCCTTGTCCACTGATGACCAATAAAAAGGAGCTCTTCTCCACTAACCACCAATGTAAGGAGACCCTTATCTATTGATGACCAATTTATGGGGTCCCTTCTCCACTCACCCAATGTAAGGGTAATCATTTCCGCTTCCCACCAATATAAGGGGTTTCCCCTCAAACCACAAATGTAACAGGGCCTCTCTCAACTGAGCACCAAAAAAAAAAGGGGAATTTCTTTCACTGACTACTAATGTAAGGGTTCTTGCTTCTTGTGTAAAGCATGTCCTCCTACATTTCTTCTTCTTACAATGGTGTCAGTGTTAGAAAGCATGCCACCGGCTCTGGCTACTGAGCGAGGTTAGTCCTGGAACCTTTAAAAGCATTGTTAGACACAAAATCATTCTAGTCACTATGGCTTGTGACACCTTGGACCCAAGACGGGGGGGCCCACTACAAGATTTGGGTCCACTGAAGAAGCCTGAGTCCTCAAATGTGGCAGTCTGATCCGGCATAAGGGTTCTAACAGGTTTTGTCACAAATGACAGCATAGGAAAGTGTTTAGGACCAAAGGTCAAAATCATTTTGAAAAACAGCACGGTCTACTCAAAGAGCTGCAAACATCCTATTTAGTCCATAAATACCTTGTCCCTCACAATCCCTTTTTCCACTGCTTTACTACATCTTACATTTTAAAATGGAAGAGCAGTAGAGGTGGTGTCCTGGAGAGTTGGTGCTTTCATTATATCTTGTGCTGTGCAGTCATTGAGGGCTTCAGTTCTTCTTTAAGCAGGGGTTCCACAAGGCCCAAAAATTATTTTAAGGAGTCCTCCAGGATACAAAAATTTGAGAAAGGCTGTGCTAAAGGCTGCATTCACCATTCTGGAGACTGTATAGAAAAGTCCACCATTTGTCTATGTTCTTCCAGACTGGCCACTTGTAAGCAACTGTCCATAAGAAAAAAAAAAACCCTTAGGCTATGTTTACACTTGTGTCAAAAGAATCTGCGTTTTTGAAGCCTCACAAATTCCTGCCATTGCTCTATGTCAATTATGTGCCTTGCAGCAGACATTGTTGTTCCCACAGTTGCTTTTGTGACGCTCCCCCAATACCTCTGCTCATGTCAATATAAATGTGCTGCAAACGCATCACAAATGCCTAACAAATGCCCCTATGGCATTTACAGCACATCTGAGATGAGTTTAGAAAGCATTACTGAGATGAGTATGGAGTGCTGGCGGGGGACCCAGGAAGAGGAGGATCTGGGCTGCTCTGTGCAAAACCACTGCACAGAGCAGGTATGTATAGACATGTTTATTATTTTTAAAACATAAAATACTAGATTTTAATATAATTTTAAAAGTGACACTACAGTCTTGTTTTTTTGTTTTTTTTTTTACCTGCCCTGTGTCATGGTTTTGCACAGAGCAGCCCAGATCTTCCTCTTCTCGGGTCTCCCGTCGGCGTCCCCCATAGCAAGCAGCTTGGTATGGGGGCATCTCCCGAGCCACAGCTGTATGTCCATTCACACACAGAGCCGCTGCTCGGCCCCACCCCTCCTTCTCCTGATTGGCTCACCAGCTGTGACTGACAGCAGTGGGAGCCAATGGCTCCTGCTGCTGCCTCAGCCAATCAGGAGTGAGAGTCCTCGAAAAACCGACTCTTGTGGACATCGCTGGATTGGGGCTCAGGTAAGTGTTAGGGGGGCTGTTACACACAGAAGTTTTTTTACCTTGATGCACAGAATGCAGGAAGGTAAAAATTGTGGAGCCTTTAGAACCATTTAAGCTAAGACAAGTTTTACCCTATGTCTCAGTAGCTGTATTGCCCCCTCTCCTCCCTAAATACATACCTGTCTATCTCGATACAGCACTGTGCCCGTCTGCTTTGGCGCTAATCTCTGTTTCTCTCCTCACAGGATACAGAGGCAGCAACGGGAGCCATTGGCTACTGCTGCTGTCAATCAAATCCTGGGAAGAGGGTGCGGGGGTCAGGGCTGAGCCACACTGTGTGTGACTATAGACACACAAAGCCCAGCTCAAAAGCAAACCAACTGGTCTGCCCCCATAGCAAATGGCTTGCTATGTTGGCAAACACAGAAGAGGAGGAGCCGAAAGTGCCTCTGGGGAACCCCAGAAGAGGAGATTTGGGGCCACTCTGTGAAATACCACTGCACAGAGCAGGTAAGTAAAACAAGTTTATCATTTTAGAAAAAAATATTAAGTGGTTTTAAATGTTGAACAGAAAGCACAACCCTTCTGTGGGCACCCCCCCCCCCCCCCAATACTTACCTGAGCCCGATCTTGATCCAGCAATGTGCATTAGAGCAGCGGCCCTCCCGGCTCTCTCCCTCCTCATTGACTCAGAGACAGCAGTGGGAGCCATTGGCTCCTGCTGCTGTCAATCACAGCCAGTGAGAAGGAAGCGGGGAGCGGAGCTGAGCCACACTTTGAGTCCCATGGCAAGCGGCATGTTCAGGCCAGGAGAGCCAGCGGAGGACCCGATAAGAGTATGATTGGGGCGGCCCTATACAAAACCACTGCACAGATCAGGGAAGTATAACACGTTTGTTAATTTTTTTTTAATGTTTATCTTTAGTATCACTTTAAGAATTTACAATCACTTTAAGGGGCGTCCATGGTACCTAAAGATTCAAAGCATGTCTGAACGAGCCCTTAGGGATTGTTTACACCAGCGTTGCTCTCTGGAGATTGCTCTTCAAAGAACTTTTGACAGGCAGTGAGGAGGCACCTCCTCACTGCTTGTTTTAACCCCTTAAAGGATAAGTTCACCTTTGGGAACATGTTCCACCCCTTTTTAGGGTGTAACATGTAACATATTCCCATAGCTGCAGCCGCTCCTCCACTCCCTCTGACAGATATTACAGGGAGAAGTTCCCCCGTACGATCTTTCAGATTTGAAAACAGTGCAGGTAGTTCGGGGCTCCGCCCACACGACCACATCATTCATTCATGGACTTCCATAAATGAATGAACTGCAAGTCCCAACAGCCTTAGTGGCTGTCAGCAAATAGTTTTCAATGAACTATGCTAAGCTAAGATCATTGGAGCTTCCTGTCAGAATATCTTCTTGGTCATACATCCCGTACGGCAAGCAGATATTTTGACAGGTCTGCAGGAGACCTGCATGGCATCAGTGATATACTAATCGCTGGTGCAATGCTTTCCAGGACAAAAATAATAAATGCACATTTTTTTTACCTGCAAAATATGTGCATTTATTATATTTGTCTAAAAGGTGACCTTATCCTTTAACCACCTCCCGCCTGCCATATAAGGAAATGACGGGTGCAAGGCAGTTCTCTCTTTCTTGGAGGACGTCATATGACGTCCTCCCACTCTAACCGCGCGTGCACGGCTCCGGGAGTGCGCAGCGATCGGTGATGCGCTGTGTCCCTCGGACACAGCAGATCACCGATCAACGGAAAGAGCCGAAGATGTCGGCTCGGTCAATCACAGCTAATCGCATGTAAATAGGGAAATAGTCGGCATTTCTCTCCTCACGAGCTGTCATGCTGACAGAGGAGAGTCGGTAATCGGTATTCCTCAGAGGGGACATGTACACTGATCATCAGGGCACTGATGATCAGTGTAGCCCCAGCAGTGCCACCTCAATGCCACATTGTCCATCAATGCCACCTGCCAGTGCCCATCAGTGCCACATCAATGCCACATATCAGTGACTACCAGTGCAACATCAATGCCACATATCAGTGCCCATCTGAGCTGCCTTTCAGTTTTCACCTATCAGTGCCAGTCAGTGCCGCCTATCAGTTCCGCCAATCAGTGCTCCCTATCAGTGCCAGTCAGTGCCACCTATCAGTGAGCATCAGTGCCGCCTATCAGTGCTGCATATCAGTGCCGCTTATCAATGCCAGTCAGTGCCGCCTATCAGTGCCATATATGAGTGCTGCCTTTCAGTGCCCATCAGTGATGCCTGTCAATGCCCATCAGTGTACCAGTGCCTCCTCATCAGTGCCCATCAGTGCAGCCTATCAGTGCCCATCACTGCAGCCTCATTAGCGCACATCAGTGAAGGAGAAAAATCACTTATTTACAAAAAATTTTAACAAAAACTAAGAAAAAATGTTTTTTCAAAATTTTCAGTTGTTTTTGGTTTGTTTGGCAAAAAATAAAAAACCCAGAGGTGATTAAATACCACCAAAAGAAAGCTCTGTCTCAAAAAAATGATAAAAATTTAACTAGATGGTAAGCTCGAAAGAGCAGGGCTCTCGATCCCCTCATGTTTTGCATTGTATTGGTATTGTTCTGTCACATGTTCTGTCCCCCTTTGTAATGTACAGCGCTGAGCGAACTATTGGCGCTTTATAAATACTGTATAATAATAATAATAATATATGGGTACAGTGTTGCATGACCGCGCAATTGTCATTCAAAGTGTGACAGCGCTGAAAGCTGAAAATTGACCTGGGCAGGAAGGGGTAGAAGTGCCCTGTAGGCTATTGGTTAAATGTTGCACTACTGAGCCGCAACCGTGTGAACTGCGCGCAATTGCAATACGGCCCCATTCATTTGAATGGGTCACATTTGATTCGAGGTAATGCCCAGCCAATGTGAAAGGAGGATATAATTCTTGCTGCCTTTCCAGCTAATGGGGGATTGGTTGAGGGGCAGTAAAATAATGTAGTTCAGCCACATAGTGTTACTGCCCCCCGTAACACAGCACACAGCCATTCATGTCATGCACCTGGGCTGCTCTGGCAGGGATGGGGGGACCGTTTACATTGAACCAGGCTCAGCCTCACATGTGCAAGAGGCCTTGCTGTCAAGGGTTAAATATTTTTGCTTACACAAAGAATAAAAAAAGTTTTGATTTCTTTTTGGAGGGTACATTTTAACTGAGATGACTGTTGTCATAACAGCACACCATGGGACCTACACTCTACTGCGCATGCGCACTATTCTTTATGTAACTTAAAAGAACTCTGCCCATAGTTGCTTAGCTACCAAGGCTTCTAACTCGTGACTGATGACAGGGACGCCATTCCAAAAGCGGTCACCGGTTTATCTATTCGGGAACGGAACTATAAATCGTGCTGGTCTAGGTATATTAGCGTTTTAGGTTCGTGTATAAACTTGCTACTGCTAAAGCATGTCTTCACTGAGGAGTTAGTTAAAAGCAAACCTAGTTCTTGCCCTAAGTAAATATGGCCGCTAGCACATCGCCAGATGATGGACAAGTGCTGTGTTCAGACTTTGTCATACGTGTCCACTTTACCTGCCAAGTCATAGAACTTCTCCGTCTGGAGTATCGCTGCGACCGCCCAGAGGACCCACTGGATCCCCAGACTGATACCAAGGAAGGGGGAGAGCTCCTGGAGCATGGCAAAGGAATCAGCAGGCTGATGTCGCTTCCACTTCTTCCACCAATTACAGTGCAGAAGGTCTAACTAATTACCAACCACAGTGCAGAGGGTCTCTCTATCCACCAATCACAGTGCAGAATGTCCAACTATTCCCCAACCACAGCGCAGAGGGTCTCTCTCTTCACCAATCACAGTGCAGAGTGTCTCTGTGACGTGAACTTTGTGCTTCTCACGTTACAGCTCATCCTCTTCCCTTCATTGTGACATATTCTTATATAACTGTGTTTTGGGAGTAGATCTGTAGTTATATATTCTATAGATAAAGATGGTATATATGGATAAAACTTTTATTTCAAGTATGAAACTGCTAAACCTGTTGTCCTGTTGGAGAGATTTCCCTCTACTTCCTGCCCTGGAGACACAACAGTGAGAGGAAATCTGCCTTAACCACTAGCCTATAGGGCACTTATACCCCCTTCCTGCCCAGGCCAATTTCCAGCTTTGAGCGCTGTTGCACTTCGAATGACAATTGCGCGGTCATGCAACACTGTACCCATATGAAATTTGTATCATTTTTTTGTGACAGAGCTTTATTTTGGTGGTATTTAATCACCTCTGGGTTTTTTATTTTTTCTTAAACCAAAAACCACTGAAAATTTTGAAAAAAAAAAAGTTTTTTTCTTAGTTTTTGTTATAAAATGTTGTAAATAAGTGATTTTCTCCTTAATGATGTGCGCTAATGAGGCTGCAGTGATGGGCACTGATAGGCTGCACTGATGGATACTGATGAGGAGGCACTGGTAGGTGGCACTGATGGGCATTGACAGGCATCACTGATGGGCACTGAAAGGCATACTCTTATATGGCACTGATAGGTGGCACTGATAGGCAACATTGACTGGCACTGTTAGGCAGCACGGACAGGCACTGATAGGTGGCACTGACTGGCATTGATAGGTGGCACTGATTGGCATTGATAGGTGGCACTGACTGGCACTGATAGGTGGCACTGACTGGCACTGATGGGTGACACTGAAAGGCAGCTCAGATGAGAACTGATATGTGGCATTGATGTGGCACTGATGGGCACTGGCAGGTGGCATGGATGAGCACGTAGAGCTGGCACTGATGGACACTGACAGGTGGCGCAGCTGGGGCTACACAGATCATCAGGGGACACTAATCATCAGTGCTCTGATGATCAGTGTACATGTCCCCTCCGAGGAATGCCGATTACCGACTCTCCTCTCCTCTCCTCACAAGTTGTCAGCGTGACAGCTCGTGGGGAGAGAAATGCTGATAACCGGCATTTCCCTGTTTACATGAGATCATTTGTGATTGCACACAGCTGATCACATGACCAAGACAACACCTTTTGGCTCTTTCCGTTGATCGGTGATCCGCTGTGTCCGAGGGACACAGTGCACCGCCGATTGCCACGCCGCACGCTCCGGGAGCCGCGCATGCGCGGTTAGAATCGGAGGACGTCATATGACGTCCTCCCAGGACGAGAGAACCACCTTGCGTCCGTCATATTACTATATGGCGGGCGGGAGGAGGTCAAAGGGCATCTCGGGGAAATTAAAAATAAAAAAATGCAGTACATCTCGACAAAACATGCACATTTCCTCATGACTGCACTTGTTAAAAAAAAAATCCGAAAGTAGAATGCCAAACCCCTCCAACATTGGTGTCACGGTCATTGTAAAGATATAATTGTAACTTAACTTTTTTGCTTAAGTCAGGGCCGGTTCACACTATAGAAATGCAATCCAAATGTTTCTACGTGTGTGTGTTTTTGATGCATTCCTGTGCATTTTTGATGCGTTCCAGTTCATTTATTTCCCTTTTTTTCTTCAATTTAAATAGGGGCACTGCATTTATGGTGCGTTGCAGTTTGTTCCAGTGTGTTTTCAATGTGTTTTGCCACATTCCAGTACAGTTCTGTGCAGGAAATATGCAGCCTGAAGAGATCACCTAATAGTGGGCAGAGTAGGCGATAGTCGGATAGATTGGGATAGAGAGTTCCAGAGGATGGGGGAGGCTTTGGAGAAGTCCTGGAGACGAGCATGGGAGGAGTAGACAACGGAGCTAGAGAACAGCAGGTTGTGGGAGGACTGGAGAGTACAGTTTGGGTGATATTTGGAGACAAGATTGGTGATGTAACTTGGGGCAGAGTTATAAATGGTTTTATATGTTATTGTTAATGTTTTGAATTTTATTCGTTGGGCAATGGAGAGCCAGTGGAGGGATTGTCAGAGAGGAACGGCGGATATGTTAGTAAGGTGGATGAGTCTGGCAGCAGCATTCATGATAGACTGAAGAGGGAATATCCTGCGATGAGGTAGGCCAATGATGATGGATTTACAATAGTCAAGGCAAGAGATAACCAGGGAGTGAATAAGTTGCTTAGTAGTTTCAGAGATTAAGAACGGGCATATCTTGGAGATGTTGCGGAGGTGAAGTCTACAAGATTTGGACAGCGATTGGATTTGGGGCTGAAAGGACAGGTGGGAGTTTTGGATTACACCTAGTACCGTGACATGAGGGGAGGGACTGATGGTTGTATTATTGATCTTGATGGAGAAGTCAGGGGAGGGGGCACGGGCTGGAGGGAATAGAATGAGCTCCATTTTGGAAATATTTAGTTTGAGGAAATGGAGTGACATCCATGCCGATATTTCACTTAGTAGGTTAGTAATGCGAGAGGGGACTGAAGGAGCGAGGTGAAGAGAAGAAAGATAGATTTGTGTGTCATCAGCATAGAGATGATACTTTAAACCATGGGAGTTTATCAAGTGACCAAGGGAGGAGGTGTAAATGGAGAAGAGAAGGGGTCCAAGGACAGAACCTTGAGGGACCCCTACAGAGAAAGGGAGTGAAGAGGAGGAGGCAGAGTTATAGGTAACACTGAAGGAGCGCTGGGATAGGTAGGAGGAGAACCAGGAGAGAGCAGAGTCTCGGAGGACAAGAGAGTGGAGTTTTTTGAGGTGGAGGGGATGGTCTACCGTATCAAAAGCCAAGAGAGGTCCAGTAGTAAGAGCATGGAGTAGTGGCCAGTTAGTAGATCATTAGTGAGTTTTAGTAGGGCAGTTTCAGTGGAGTGTAGTGAGCGAAAGCCAGACTGTAAAGGGTCAAGAAGGTTGTTGTCAGTGAGGTAGGAGCTCAGGCGATTGTAGACTAAGCGTTCTAAGGGTTTAGAGGTAAACGGGAGCAGGGAGATGGGTCTTAGGTTGTTCAGGTTGGTGGGGTCCAGGGAGGGCTTTTTAAGTATGGGAGTGATGTGTGCATGCCTTATAGTGGTGGGGAAGGCACCATTAGAGAGGGAGAGTTTGAAGATGTGAGTGAGGGAGCACAGGATAGAAGAAGAGGGTGACCATAGTAGTTGAGAGGGGACAGCATTCAGGGGGCCGGTGGTGAGGCGGGCTTCTGAGAAAACTTTAGTGACCTCTTCAGTAGTAGCAAGGTCAAAAGAGGAAAGTATTGAGGGAGTTTTAGTATAAGGTATGCTAAGTGGGATAGATGTCTGTGTAGCGGAGATGCCCCTAAGAATTGCATCAATCTTGTTTTTGAAAAGATTTGCAATCTCATAAGCAGTGAGTGAGTTACTGGGTGGAGTGGAGAAAGTAGAGAGTTAAAAGTAGAGAAGAGATGACATAGACTGGATAACAAGGTATTAATAAGAGTGACAAAGTAGGCTTGTTTGGCAGCATGGAGGGAGGAATTGTATGTTAAGAAAGCAGATTTATATAGGGGGAATCCTTGCTGAGCCAAATGCAGTGAGTATCGAAAGAAGAGGAGGATATAGAGGTAGGGTTAGGGAGGACTTGAAAGGTGGGGACAGAAGCAAACCAACTCCACCTCCTTTCCGACCACTGGGTCTGGGTTAGTGAGTCCACAGAAAGCTTCCATAGGAAAGTACTGCGGGAGAAGAAGAATCTGTTGCTTTAATCTAGGTTTCTGTAATTGCGAGTAGGTTAAGGAAGTGGGAGACAAAAAGGTCATGGACAGAGGTGAGCTTATTACAGACAGAGCGGGCATTCCAGAGTGCACATGAAAAAGGGAGGGTGGTTTTTAGGCTCATGGGGATTGAGATTAAATTGAGTGGACTGTGGCTATTCCCGAAAGGAAGAAGGTGCCTGGTATGGGGGTGAGATACTGGAGGACCAGGGTTTGGGGAGATATCCCCAGAGGCTAGGAGAAGAAGGAGGGTAAGATGGGAGAGGGATGTATATGAGTGCACATGCCTTCCTGTCCTGGTGTTTGGGTCAGCAGGTGAGTAAAGTATTAGCAGGAGGTGATGAGAGCAGTAGTAGGGAGATGGTAGCAGTGAGGGTGAGATGTGTATAAGCTCTGGGGTGGAGCAGAGGGGTAAAGAAATGAGATTTTGAGAACGGAGGATAGTAATATGAAAAGGAGAGTAGAGGGGGCATATTAAAAGGTACATGGAGTGGGAATCAGACTTGTAGGAGATGTTTACCAGGGTTTTGTTTGCAGTCCATCCAGCTTGCAGTAGAGTTCTTTGTTGTATCTTCCTGCTGCTTGAGTTATCCTGCTTTAGTTAAACTGCTGTTTTGCACTCCAGCGGAAAATGCACTGCTGTGTTCAACTGCTGTTTTACACTCCAGCAGAGCACTGTTGTGTTCAACTGCTATTTTGCACTCCAGTAGAAAATGCACTGCTATGTTCAACTGCTGTTTTACACTCCAGCAGAAAATGCACTACTGTGTTCAACTGCTGTTTTGCACATCAGCAGAACACTGCTGTGATCAACTGCTGTTTTGCACTCCAGCAGAAAATGCCCTCATGCAGGACAATGCCCTGTCTGCGACTGTACCCCCCATCTGTGACCTCCCCCATAAGCTGGTCTAAATTTATAGGGAGATGATCAAATGAGCAACTCTTCTCCGCCCAATTAGGAACTGATAAAGATCACATGAATTTGGTGGGAGGTTGGTCAAAATCAGACCAGCCACAGACACAGGCTAGAGTCATAAAAGATGATTGATTCTCTGATCACAGAAAGGTAAAGAAGGTGAGAATCAATCACCACAAACAGACAAAAAGATATAGGACTAATTATCCTGAGTTTTACAGAAAGTCAGTGCACAGCACGGAGACAGTTTAAGGTGCAGATCACATAGCAGCATTTACCCTAAGTTTTCAGAAAGTCAGTGCATGGCAGGGAGACAGTTTAAGGTGGAAACCACATAACACCATTTATTCTAAGTTTGCAGAAAGTCTGTGCGTAGCAGAGAGACAGTTTAAGGTGGAGATCACAGAACAGCACTAAGGGAAATCTCATCTATTCGAAATGAAGAAAAAGTTTTGCCTTTAGTTCTATTTTAACCCCTTAATGTTGGCGCCTCCTGGCCCTTTAAGGGGTTTGTGATGCTGGGAAGTGGGGTGGAGTTTATGATCATGTGACCAATGTGATTAGCTGTAAGAGTAGTCACATGATCAGAAAGCTGCTGACCGCAAATAGTGATCAGGATCTTTCCGTTAGCCTCCGGTAACTTTGCTGGGAGTGTGCAGGGCATGCGCTCTCTGCACAGCTGTGTTTACATTCTGGTACGCATATATTTGGCCTCTCGGAGTTAAGGCCCACTCACCGAGAGGCCGCGTAATTGCGCATTGTCGGCACAAACAGTTTAAGATGATTGTAACTTTATTAGTGCTCTTACAACAACACAGTTTAGGACTGCCCATGATACTCTTTTTCTTTGCACTGATAGCTACATTCACAATTCAAGCATTTGGGATGTTTTTTTTGTTCCTGGTCCAATTACTTCCAAGTACAGCAAAAAAATTATCATGGACAGTACTTGATTGTGTTGCAGCTTCAGTGAGAAATTTGGCATCCACTTCAGTTCACAGCACAGGAGTTAGTAGAAAGCAATAAAGAGTTCAGGGGTCAGTAGTACATAATGCACAGTGCAGAGGTCAGTAGTAAGTAGCAAAGGGGTCAATGGTCGGTAACAAAGAGTTCTGCGGCTAGTAGAAATTAATGCAGAGTGCAGAGGTCAGTAGTACGTAACACAGGGGGTCAGCAGTAAGAAACTCAGAGTTCAGGGACCAGTAGTAAGTAATAGAGAGTGCAGATGTTAGTAGTAAATGACAAAGAGTTCAGAGGTCAGTAGTAAGTAGTGCAGAGATCAGTAGTAAATAACAAAGAGTTCAGGGTCAGTACTAAGTGATGCAGAGTGCAGAGGTCAGTAGTAAGTAACAAAGGGGTCAATGGTAGGTAACACAGAGTTCAAGGGCCAGAAGTAATAATGCTGAATGCAGAGGTCAGTAGTAAGTAACACAGAGTTCAGGGGCCAGTGGTAAGTAATGTAGAGTGCAGAGGTCAGTAGAAAGTA